GTGGTTCCCAGTCTGAACGTGGCAAAGCTCCTCAAGTAGCCTGTTGGGCCACAGCCTTGTTGCGATGCTGTGCCCGTCACCCCCCCCCCCCCCCCGCCTTGTGTGGCGGCCAGAGCAACACGAGACACCCAGGACATGCATGCCTTCCTCTCTCGGTGTCGTGCTCAGGGCTTCTTGAAGAACAAGCACTCTGGGGGCTGTGGTTCTGCTGGTTTTCTCACCTTTTCGTAATGTCCTTTGTGAGGCAGGCTCTGGTGTGAGGGGCCTCATGGTGCCTGTCCCCCTTAACCCCTGGGTCTTCCCTCATTTCTGCACAGTGTAAACACTTCCAAAACTCTGCTGTTCAATAAAAGAGTCTAACCTCCTGCAGGGAAATGAAGACTTCCCAGGTGTGAAGGTTTTCTTACTAGGGATGACGTAGTGTGCGTCCAGTGCCCGGAGGCTGCTCTCAGGTTGTCCGATGTGTAGCTCAGAGATGCACCTCAGCCTGGACTGGGGGCCTGGGTCCTGCAGCTCTGCGTGGAGCCCCTCGTGCTGTGTGTCCCCTGACTCGTGCCGCAGGCTCTTAGGTGCTGGGCCCCAGCCCCGTCCTCCCCTCAACCCCACTGAGGTCAGGCAGGCGTCCCTCTGGCGTGCCACTCCACGCCCTCCCCCAGGAGCGGACCTGGCAGACGAGGGATGTCGTGAGCATCAGGTCTGACAAATCCGATCCGAAGGTGAATGTGAACATTTATCTGGTGCACAATTCAGGATCTGTGCTGCTTCCTGACGCCGGATCCCTTAGCCCCTCTGTCGTGTAGCCGTCTCCATGGCGGCTGCTTCAGTGGTGGCCTCGTTTTGCACGAGTCTTGAGTCTCACAATACATTAACTAAGAGGCTGTACCCGAATAAATGGGGGGGCCTGTGTGTGGGTCCTGACGCTTCCCCACACTGCTGTCAGTGAGTGGGGGTTCTCAGAAGCACCTGCGCTCTGGTTCACCAAGCGGTGCTGGCCAAAATGAGGAATGGAGAGGGGCCCCGTTCCCCCCAGCCTTGCTTTAGGGACCCCGGGGACCGGCTGGCTCAGGTGGGGGGGCGTGCAGCCCCTTCCCTGCTGTGCCCCCAGCCCCCGCGGTGGCTCTGCTGTGCACTGCTTCTCCCCCCGATGGCCCTGCGTGAGTGCGGTGTGGGCTGCCCTGAACCCCTGAGCTCAAGTCTCTGCTCATCTCCAGCCATGTCCAGCCATGTAAAAAATTCACATGAAGGGCTTTTTCTTCAAAGAATCAAAACCTAAATGGAATTAAGTCACTAAAAACCAGATGCAGGGGACGCCTGGGTGGCTCAGTCGGTTAAGCGTCTGCCTTCGGCTCAGGTCATGATCCCGGGGTCCTGGGATCGAGTCCCGCATCGGGCTCCTTGCTCAGCGGGGAGCCTGCTTCTCCCTCTGCCTGCCTCTCTCCCTGCTTGTGCTCTGTCTCTCTCTGACAAATAAATAAATAAAATCTTAAAACAAAAAAACAAAAAAAACTAGATGCAGTTCTTAGGGAAAGTTCCTGGTTCAGAAAAGGAGTGACTTTTCTGTAAATACGGAACGAATGTCCTGTCTTTTCATATACGTATTAAGTATGATGTGTCTTAATGTCAAGCATGTAGTAATTCCAAGTGTTTTTTGAACTAATAGTTTTATTGTCCCTTATAATCATAAAAATGCATTTATTTTCCCAGCGACCGAGAGAATTTTCACTCCACGATACTTCAGGAACAAATATCCAGGGTGAATATTCAAATGATGACAACAGACCCAAGTGGTGCACGTTGTCCTTGTCAGTTCTTGCTCTGATTATGTGATGGTCGCCCCAGTGCCCTTGGCCATTGGTCACACTTGCTTTGGGGATGCCTGTGGTAATGGTGAATGCCGGAGGTCAGCACGTTCCAAACAACAGGGACACGTGATTTTGAAGGCAGCACAGTGGCCAGGATGTGGTGGGGGTGGGGGCACAGCAGAGGGCCACATCCTGGTGGGTTGGTGACACCCAGGGGAGGCTCGTCTCTAGGCCAGTTGGTGCCAGGTGCCCATCGGGGAAAATGGGTTTAACAGGACAGGCAGCCTGCAGCTGGTACCAGAAACAGGTTCATGTCAGGCCACTGCAGACTCACTGAGTCTTTGGGTTGTTCTTTATAAGAGCATTTGCTGTTCAGTGGAAAGAACATCTTTCAATGTAGATTTCTTTGACTCTCAGGTTTTATTCATAGGGTTTCCAGAGCATGGCAGGGAAGGGGCTCCTGACCACGTTTAACTGGTGTGGGCACATGAGCTGATGCTTACCTGGGGTGCTCTGCCAATGTACAGTCCAAACTGCTGTGACCCCAAAACACAGAGCTGGGAAGCATGGCCACTTCTTTGTGTCCAGAGGAAGTCTTCCAGGGAAGGTGGGCCACATGGGGGCTTCTGGCTGCTCGGCCCTCCCGTCTGTCCGTGGCACACCGCAGCTAGGGATGCGACCGGGACAGCAATGCCACCTGGGAGGAGACGTGGAACGCAGCGGGAGAAGCCCAGAGATGGGCTTCCTGGACAGCTGGCCTGGGAGCGAGCAGGTGGGGCCGTGACAGGCGTGGGGGGTTGAGGTGATGCTCCTCCAAGCCCAGGGGCACCAGACACTGACGAGGCCGGAGGACTCTCTGCAGGGTCAGGAGTGAGGCCCTGCCCACACCTGGATTACTTGGCAATAAATGTGTTGTTTTAAGCCAACCTGTCTGTGGTACTTAGAGCAGTCCTAGAACCACACTCCTACCAACTTTGAAATGGCTGTAAATTTGCTGGTCAGACTTCTCTTATATAAAGTATTTATAGACTCGGCATTGATGTGCATTTTCTTTCCATAATAAACCTCAAAAATTTTAGCTATTGAAAGATGTGTCTGTGGGGCACCTGGGTGGCTCCGTGGGTTAAGCGTCTGACTCTTGATTTCAGCTCAGGTCATGATCTCAGGGTGGTGAGATTGAGTCCAGGCTCTGTGCTCAGCAGGGAGTCTGCTTAGGATTCTCTCTCTACCCCTTCTCCCTCCTACCCCCCACCCCTGCTTGTGCCCTCGTTTTCTAAAAAAAAAGATGTGTCTGTGACACAGACCTCAAGGAACCTGGGGGTGGGATCCACCTCGGGGGGGCAGGATCCACCTGGGGGGGTGAGATTCACCAGGGGGTGGGACCCACCTGGGGGGGTGAGATTCACCGGGGGGTGGGATCCACCTGGGGGGAGATTCACCTCGGGGTGGGATTCACCACAGGGTGGGGCAGGATCCACCTGGGGGGGTGAGATTCACCGGGGGGGTGGGATCCACCTCAGGGGGACAAGATTCACCCAGACATTTAGGGGCAGGTGCACTTCTGCCTCCCCCATCAGCCTCATCTTGGCCTTCAGAGACCACCCTTACCCACCTCTTTTCAGCCCTGGGCCCACCCCCTTTGGTGTCTCAGGCACTTCCTCCTCCCACTCTGGCTGGGTGGGCGCTGCTCTGCCCTTTCTGGGCGCCTGCCCCCTGTGTGCAGTGACGAGTCTGAGTAAGTGAGCAAGTGATGGTGCCCACCTGTCTGTGCCTGGGAAGAACCAGGTCTCAGAGCCCAGGGTATGCCAGCAGTCACGTCCCAACGACCTCTTTGCACCAGCCAGAAGGGGCTGCCTCTGACGCGCACACGCACACGTCGATGTTAATTTTAGTGCCAGAGCAATGTTTGCCTGCAGCGAACTGCCCCTTAAATTCTCCTTGATATGATTTCTCAAAGTTTCCACCCAAAGTGCCTTGAAACATTTTTAATAGACTTGATCATGCAGGTGTGACAGGGCCTGTGACGGGGCCGCTGCCCAGCACATCCAGGGGGCATGTAAGGCACGTTGTTCTGTGATCAGGGTTACACAAAATTTGACTAAAATTACATTCACAAAATTAACAAACACAATTTTCACCACTCCTAACTTAACATACATTTCAAATTTCAATGAAATTCTTTAACTCTCCTTTCACAATAGAAGATCACTAGTACACAGATAGAAGCGCTGTAACAAAATTATTTTCAAGAAAATAGAGAGGTGAGAAATAGCAACTCCTACATTTGTGTTCTTTATAGTCTACCATAAAGTAGGCCAAAATTCAATATTAAATAAATAGGAATTCTTTTATAATAAAAAATTTTACAACAATTTTCCTAAGGAAATACATTCATAAGACTTTGTTTATGTTCTGTTTTACAATGACAAGAACAGCTAGGATTCTCATTTATGAAATGTATCCACAGCACTAGGGAGTGTAAGACTGTCCACAGAGGAAACACCAGACTTCTCTCGTGAGCGCTGAAATGTGGGATTCTGCGAAGGAGGTTTCCCACCTGGAACTTCAGTTCCTTTAGGGCTGTGCTTGGCCCTGGGCCATTCAGAGAACTGCCCGTCTACTGCAGAAACACCCGCCAAGAGCTGAGCGGTGAGACATTTGTCAGAGAGGCATCGCCCGCCCGTTTACTATCTCTGGTGTTGATGGAGGTGCCTCCGAGCCGCTTTCCCCAACTCAGCCTCTAGCTCCGCAAGTGGGAATTGGATCCGGGTCCAGAGGTCCAGGTGAGTTGTTAAGGCAGCTGGAGATGCCGGACCAGCTGGGCTGTGGACCCTGGGGAGCCCAGTGCGGCAGGGCCTGGCTTATCTGGATGAACCACTCTGCAGGGAGCGGGCAGAGCGTGTGCCTTCCTGGAGGTGTGCGTGGTTGCTGCAGCTCAGTGGGGCTCACTAACCGGCAGGTTTTGTTGCCCCGATAATGGCTGGATTTTGTGCTCACAGAGTTGGTCAAAATGGTTGCACAGTGTGGGGAATAACTACGGAAAGAAAACCAAACACCCACTCCCGTATGTTGATTTAGGTAATGAGCAGATCTGCTGCCTCAGGGTCAAGAGCTTTGTGTTGCTGAGCAGATGCCACAATGACTAGTCCCCGTTCTTCTCAACAGCAAAGGACAGTAGGTTGTACTGACTTTCCACCAGGGTCCCAGTAACACTACGAAGTGCTCTCAGGCCTCACCAGTGACGGCTGTGAGAATTTCCACCATCAGAAGTCAGTCACAGCACAGCACAAATACTTTCCTGAGCAGAGCTGAGCTGGGCCTCTTCACAAAAGCTTCTAGTAGTGTCCGTCCTAAGGCCCACATCCCTCAGATCTTTACTACCTCTTTCTGAGGAACAGGCGAGGGCAGACGAGGGCCTCTTCCCTCCATCACTGTGGCAGCCTCCTCACCCCAGCCTCCTGTCTGCTCCCCCCATAGGATAGCCAGACAGTGGTCTCCCTCCAGAGGATGGGGGGCAGAGGGTGCAGCTCTGTCCAAAGCCATGTCCCTGAGACCCTGGAGGGGGTGAGAAGCAGTCTGGGCTACAACATTCTCAGGGCAGGCCCAGAGGTCCTGTGAGGGTCTGAGCCCTGCTCCAAGTCCCTTGGCTGTCCAGGAAAGAGCAGCTCCCAGCCCCACTTAGCCCTGGCCCCGTTAAGCTGCTTGCTAAGTGAAGGCCCACTCTACTCAGCGGAGCTGTGTAGACCTGTCCACACGGCCAGTGCAATCTCTCCCAGTGTCAGGTGAGACGGCTAAGGCCAGAGACCAGGTGTTTGGGCGTGGGGCAACACCCAGAAACCAGGGGCCGCCACATTGACGCCTGGGCCAGAGCCAGACCAGTGCTGGGCTCTGGAAGTCACAACACAAAAAGGATAAACAAACAAAAGATGTTTCCGCAATTGTACCTAAGGTGTCCCTAAGGTGACAGGTGGGTCAAAGAACTGCTAAGTGTACGTTAAGACATCACGCAGGGCCAACCCCTCCGCCTGCAAACTGCTCCTGGAATCAGGGCTCCTGCCTCCCTGGGGGTGAGAGCCCTGCGGGGGCCGGGAATGTGGGCTGGCATCTGGTCTCAGTGTCCCTGGCAGTGTTGATGAGAGGGTGGACACGAAGTGGCAAGAACTCGAACCCAGAGCCCTCTTCTGACACCCAGGGCCCTTCCTGACTCTAAGTCGGGGTGCCAATAACACCCAAGTGCCGGCAGGGTTCAGAACCAGGGCAGGTGCACAGAAGGGCCCACGGCAGAGTCTCGGGGCAGGGGCACGGGCCCAGACCGCCCTGCAGATGGAAGAGGCTCTGCCACGGTCCCCTTCCTAGGCCACAGGGGCCTCTCTGCAGGGGCCTCTCTGCAGGTGCTCCAAGGAATTCCAAGGGTCAGGCCTCGCGCGCGGCGCACTCGGTCCCCTGGGACGGATTCTGAACCGGCGAGTCCGGCTTGCTGCCCTAGGCCAGCACCTGGACTCCGGCTGGGGGAGACCCCGGGGCCAGGCCGTCACAGCGGCGTCTCCTCCTGCTCCAGCGCGTGCGGCGGCGCGTGGCACGACGGCGGCAGGGACGCGAGCTTGAGCAGCGCGGGGCGGCGGCGCGCG